GACAGGATATTATGCAAGGTTGTGAGGACCAGTGTGGGTAACTATTCAGCTCATAGGCATGCTACATATTCAGTTGGAATATATTGCGGAAGCCAAAATGCTATTCTGATTACTTGGTTTTGTGTTCTTTTGAATGTAGACAGCAGTGTCTACAATAGTAGGTCAAGTGGTATCTCGAGGTTAAATAACTAGAATAACCAGGAATGTGAGTAGTGCTATTCGCTTTGTGTAAATCCGACGTTACCTGCAACGTAAAGAACATTTCATTTAGACAATCTGGTAAACAATCTTGGTCTCATCATTTTGAAAGATCCAGTACAAATGGCTATCCGGTGTCTATAAAAACAAGACATATGTAGACGTTGTACATTTACTGTCATGTTAGACTTATATTAAAGTTTTTCTTCATTACCCATTTAAGCCGTCTCCAGCCATTATTAATCTCAAAGTGGGTTCCTCGTCATCGAATTTGAAAACATAATAGTAGTCAGAACACTATTTATATAAGTCACTTGTTACAATAACAACTGCCATGTAGTGAATGCCTTTTTCAGCTAGGCTTTTCTTTATTTTCAAGATAGTTGCAAGAAGCTGTGCTGTTTAAGTATGTTTGTTTGTTTGTAATTAAGCACAAAGCTATACAATGGGCTATCGAAACCTGGATTCTAGTGGTGAAGTCCACAGACATACCGCTGTGCCACTGGGGGGCGTTTAAGTATGTAAAGTTCCTTTGATGATGCAATTATTATAGTTATAATTTTCTCCTCAAAATAATGAAATTTTGACGACATTTTATAGTAATACATTGGCTGTATCAATATAGGTAACAAGGACTAAGTCATTCACTATAATACCTAAATGTAATTATACTAACGTAATCAAATTTAATGCTTTACAATTTTGATATAAGAACCTAACTACCTAATATTTAAGCAATTGTATATGTTTGTTTGTAGTTAAGCACAAAGCTACTCAATGGACTGTCTATGATCTGCCTACTACGGGTATCGAAAACCGGTTTCTAGCGTTATATGTCCACAAACATGCCGCTGTTCCACTAAAGGGGGGGGGGCAAACAATTGGAATTATTTTAATTTTTTAAAGTTTTATAATTTACTTATTTAGAGGTAAAGATGTATTAAAACGGTTACATTACGTGAACAAAATAAAAGTAGTCAATACAAATGTACTTCCTTTTGTAGTAGAATACAATGTCGTTTCCTGGACTCTTGTGTCCTACTTTTTTGTACCAATATGATCGTGTACTTTCTACTAGTTTTATAAACTGCCGACAGATTGTGCATTTTATTAATGGCTGCCAGACACGACGTACATTGTGAATTTATGGCTTAAGCTTAAATCAAGACTGATAAAATGGGAAAGTTAAATGTTTCTCTACTTCGTTATATGTCTAAGGATGACTTCAGAGTTCTGACAGCTGTAAGTTACTTTTAAGTTTTATTAGCATATATTTTTGATAGCACAGTAAATTCTTCAAAATGACATAAATTATAATATAACTTATTATTTATAACAAACATATAATATATTTATTCTGTTGGAACTTCAAAGTTCAGTATACACACGATACAGTTAATGATACTATTACTAGTACTTTGTTCAGAAACTCATAATGTAATACTAAGAGTAAATAGTAATAGCATTATTACCGTGAGAAGGCAAGTTGTCTTTCTTATACAGAGTGGATAAATTCTCTAACTTCTAAGTCTAAGAGTAAACTTCAAATAATTTGTTAAGACAGGGAAATTAACATGAAAACTAATGTCTGCCAAATCATACTTGTTTATTCACATAAAGAGCTGACATGTAGGAAAAATATTAATTTTATTATTCAATCAAGTTAGGCATGGTACAGTGGTTTAGTGTGCTTGGATTCACAGTGATCAGCTTGTGAATCTGAGGGTTTCTTTCTTGTTATTGCAAAAACTAGCTTCTCACTTTTTGATGTAAGCATGCTATAAAGCATATGCTAACTGAGCCTGACTCAACAGCTTTAGGATTTTTAGTTTTACAACTGTGCATGCTTGTAGTTGTAACTTGTAAACCGAGCACTCGCATTCTCATCCTCCTCCAAAGCAACCTTTCTTGTTTCTTTAATTTCTTCTCCCTAACTTCTATTTTCACCCTCTAATAATAATAGCACACTCTTTACCATAACTATCTCTATTTTATCTGAAGTAAGCAATCTCTGCAGGTGCAGTGTACTGTATTGTTCTGATCCTCCTGAAAGTCGAGAACAAGACCACAATTTTCAAATATAAGCTAATTTTGGTATGTATTGCCCATATAAATTCCATCACACTTACCCATGTGCTCCTCAATTACCTTTAACACTATTGAAGTTTTGCTAGTTTTTATTCTTTATTTCTATTCTACCCACCTAATAATTACTTATATAACTAAAATCAAGCTTGGTGTACTTTCAAAAAGCTATTGTTAAGGTGCCATACATTGTTAGGATTTGGGGAAAGACTAGCTAATTGAATTGTGATTATATTAGAGAAAGAAAAAGGTTGTTATTAATGGAGTAAAGTCAAATGGACTATTGTTACTATTGATGTATGTATGTAGAAGTACTACAGAATGATTTGGATAAGTTGGTAAGCTGGACAAATGTCTAGTACATGGTGGCTATAGTAAGGGTTATCATAATTTGAATCACGTATATCTTATAGATGGTAACCCACTCACCTGAAGGAAAAAGGAAATGAGATAGTGCTCTTTTGGTACATTCAGTATAGTAAAAATAATATAATTTTAGGGCGTACTTATAGACAATGTATTGATTACATGTAAAAAGAGATAACTCTCTGTATCTACCTATCACTAACACAGGCCTGCGCTGGTTTTATTGTCTTTACATTTTTATGAAATTTAGATTTGCAGGCCTGTGTAATTAAGCCTCACTTGGAAAACTGTGTACAGTTTTGGCCTCCTTTATCTAAGAAAAGATATTGACTTACTGGAAAGGATTCAGAAGAGAACTGTTAGGGTGATTTAAGAAATGGAATGATTTTCTTGTAGGGTTGGGTTAAGATCTGTTGGCTTGTTTTAATTTTGAGAGAAAAAGGATAAGAGGAGATCTTATTAAAGTGTACAAGATTATTCAGGGGATCAGCGGAATGAAAGCCTCTGATATATTTGCGCTATATTCTGAAGACGATAAGAAGCAAGGACAAAAGTTTGATATTTAGAAGAGACAGGCTGGATTCCAGTTAAAAATGCAGTTTTATTTTTCTAAAAGGGTGATTGACTCGTAGAATGAGTTGCTATCAACAGTAGTTGAGGCCATCACTTTGTAGGGATTTAAGAAGTAAATCATTGATTTTCTGAAAAGTACATGTAAAGAGGGGATTTAAACATTTACTTTCCTCAAGAGTGAGTGGGCAAGGATGGCCTTGAAGGACCAATTTATTAATCCTGTGCATAAAACTGGAAATCTGTACATCTGATAACCCTTTGTGTGGTGGAAGGTTACTTATTTGAAATAACAGTTTTGAATAACATATTTTTATCATCAGAAACTATGAAAAAGTATGGATAAACTTTTTAATTAACTAATTAATTCAGAAAATCATAAACTTGTTCTGTTTCAGAAAAAAGCATAGGATTTTTCTGGAAAAATTAGAATAAACTTAACATTTGATTAAAGGCATTGCCCATTAAGTTATCACACAAGTATTGTGTGATAGTCGTATAATTACTGTTTGTCAGTCCTGCCAAACTTCTCTAATCATTCTTCTGCTTGATTATTTTGACAGAGAGTAAGTAAAGTTTAAAACACAAGTTATTAGCTCAATTTCTACTTGTGATTAAGTATAATCTACATATCTTCATTTCTTTGATAAAGTTGGCATTGGATGTCAGCAATGGCATAATTTTTATTTTAAGGTGTGTATAAAAACTGAAATTACAATTTATTGTAACAGGGAGTACTGAGTATTTCTTTACTTTCAGTAACATGTAGGTTTTTGACTGGTGTCTTTTTTTTATTTACCAATAAAGGCCCATTCATTAGTTTCACGGGATGAGAGGACAACATGTGTTTGTGTCATTTCTCATGAAGGTCTACTGAATGCTGGCAGAAAATTGTCATATTAGTGTAATAGTTTTCAGTGTATAAACTAACTTGTACACTTCTAGGTGTTTGGAGATCTGGGCCATACTCAAGAACCCCTAATAATTTCTTGTCAAACATTGTTCAAGAATTAGATATTAAGGCAGTAATGGGGGAAGGATTGAAGAGGCTGTCAAACTCATAAAAATAATAAAATGGATCGTTTGGATATATCCAAGAACCATTGAAACTTTCATGGTTATCAGAGGTCAGAAAGTTTGAAAATTTTCATCATTGATTGACATAAATATGGATACTAACTGCTTTATAGAATGCATTACATTCTATATTGATAAAACATTTCTGACCTATTATTTAAGTAAGTGAGGTATCTTCTAGAACAACTTGAGTCAATTTACATCATTTCAATGAGACATCATAAAATGATCTAAAGAAATGCATCTACATGTAGAATAAACAAACTATTTATATGCATATTTTATTTTCAAAATGTGTAACCATCCTTCCAAGACATACTTACCTCCTTCACACTGATAGCTATTACTTGAGTGCCAGGGATTCTTCCTTTGCCCACCTAAGCATTGGTCTGACTTTTTCTCGCTTGCTCCAGTTTTTATACCCCACTCAATTGCCTTTGGCAATATTTATCTTGCAACCCTTTCCACCTATGTCTGTGTGCCCTCTATCCTGTACTGAATATATGTTCAGATAATGTTATCACTTTTTTTTGACAAAGTGTCACTTACAGGTTTCCTACTATTATAATCATTCAGAAATACTTTGAACTTTATCCATGTTATCTAGTTGATTTGAATAATAATAATATTTTTTTTTATATATTCTGATTTGCAAGCTGATTTATGGTTTGAACTCCTGAATTATTATTTCTGGCATGTAGCCAAATCAGGTCTCTCCTATCCCACCTTTGATATCTAGCATTGCACAACAATTGGGGTTGAGGGGGGGGCCACTCTCAGTTGAGACATTAAATGATCTTATTCATAGTGAGATGGAGACATATATTCAGTTCTGTGGTGTTCCTCGTGGGGGGGGGGGGGCTCTTAGCCTGCAATTGAGGGCAATCCTCGACATTCCCCTTTTCCTGTGCCTTCTTTTAGTCTGTTGGTTTTTAGTCCCCCTGTGGAAGACTCTCAGGATCACCAACTTCATTGATAATGAGCTGGCTTCATTGTTAACATGCACATTGGTTCAGTTGTAGGTTTCTACATTCATCCCTGTTGTCGTTGGAGTCTTAAATTTCAGCAGCTCTTACGGGGGGTCATAGTCCTAACCCCTGGCATTAGTTCCTCAGTAAATTGCTACCCAAAATAGATTCTGTCTATATCTGAGAGTTCTGCTGCTCGGTTAGATTACCACCAGTGGTGTTGGTGATTATTGTATATCTTCAGGGTCTGTGTAGGCTTGGCTCCGAGAACTTCTGGACATGTGGTAACCTTAGCCATGGATCCAGGAGCCCTGCAGGTCCTTGTCAGGATTAGTCAGTCAGTTCACATCTTCACCACTATTATCCACCCAACCTATAGGGTTTTCATCTCCAGCAAATTATCAAGATTTGGAACTTAGTTCTAGAGATATCAGAGTTTGGTTGATCTGGGGATAGTGAGAGGGTCGTGCTAGTTTTTCCAAGGTTTTATTGTTGCTGGTTGTTGGGCCTATAAAGACAGGGGATTGGTGTCCAATTTGATTTTTCTCATCTATCTTAATGCCTAGATTCTCCAAGGTTCACAAGTTACTCATTCCTTAATCTGTGTTGACATTTTCTACTGGGATTGTAGATGTCCAAGTTTGTTGTGGTCAGCTTGTATCTGCACATTGTCATGGAGTCCCACCACTTTTGGCATTTGTTGTGCACAAGGGTCAGGTACTGCAGTTTTGGGTTTTCACCTTTGGACTCGCATCAGCTTCACATGGGTTTTGCCTTTCATACAAATTTTCTTTCCACCTCTATTCCATCACACTGTGCACACACCATTCCATAGATGACTGGTATCTTCTTCTCAAATTGTCAGAACATTGCATCCTGATTCTACTTTCTGATAGTCCTTGTGTAACTACGTACAGATAGTCCTTGTGTAACTACGTACAGATAGTCCTTGTGTAACTACGTACAGATAGTCCTTGTGTC